AAAATCTCTCAAGGGTTGCACAGTCCAATTGCCTCCTAACACAGTCAAAAATTAGGGTTTTGGTTTTTTGCAAAGAAATTGAAGTTTCCAAGGGTCCAATCAAGTCCCACATACCCACATACATTGTCAAGCATCCATATGCCAAGTTTCAAGACTCACAGCATCAAATTGCACAGTCAAAAAACCCTAAATGCTCCACAGTCAACTGCAGGGGCAAAATGGTCATTTGACAGTCAAAAGTAAAAAATTTTGGTCAACATCTTATTTTGAAGCCACAAACATCATTTGATCAATTCTTGATCATGATTCTCAAAGCATGGCTCAAAAAGTCTCAAGATGCAAAAGTTTCTATTTTTGGACAATTGAAAAAGTCAACTGCAAATTGACCAGGGCATAACTTCTTCATGGTTTATCATAAAAATCACATCCAAAGCTAATTTTGAAGAGAATTACATTTCCTACAACTCATCTTCATACTTCAAGTCCAAGAAATTCTCTCACAAAAAGTTATCAATTTCAACATTATAGGTCATTTTCAAAAGTCAGCAAAAAGGCACTTTAAGTCAAAGACCATAACTTGAGATTGGTAAATCAAAATGAAATGGGACCAAAGGCATTTGTTATAGGACTTCAAGACCTTTCCAAAATGTCCAAGAAAATGTTCATAACTTCAAAATTGAGCAAGATATGCCTTGTAGAAGTTAGGAAATTTTTGGGAATTTTGAAAAGTCAACTTTGCTTCAAAAGCTTCAAAATTGCTAATGGGCCACAAATTCTTCCATGAATCATTACCCAAAGGCTATGCACGACCCACTAAGCTCAAAGGGAGTTATTTTCTTATTTTTGATTAATTATTTGAATTTTTATTATCATTAATTCATTTAATTAAATTTAAATATAAGAAAAATACCAAATCATGTTTTTAAATCTTTTTTGTGCAGCAAATATGTCCATTATGAGCTAAATATTTCGTGTATCAATCAACAAAGAAAAAATCATCCAAATTTGGCAAGAATTGCATGGAAAAAGATTGGAAAAGATATGAACAAAATCAAATATTGGAATCATCAATACATGGACTTTGAGCTTGGCTTTTTGACCTAATTCCATTCAGATACATATGCATAACATAACCCTATTCCATTACAGACGAAAAACTGCACACAGGCTGCATACCAAATTGCCAAATTTTCACAAAAAGTTGAAAACTGAAAACCTAGTTACAAGGCGTTTCAAAGCACAACAAGCCTTCCAATACATTCCTGACATTGCTAGGAACGTGTTGAAATCAAGAACCAGTCTACAGACCCCAAGAATTGGTAGAACAGCATTGCACTTTTCATGAACATATCCGTTATCGTGTTTTAATTTACATGCATTATTCATGAGTTTTAATTGTTGATTCTTACTAACAATGATGTTCTGAAGCTAATGGTACCCTTTAATTGAACTAACAATGCCTATATCAAGATCTACCATTGATGGATATTAGGTTTTCAGAAGCTCAAAATTGGGGTTTTCTTCATATGGAAAAATTAGACCCTCAAACTGGTACCATTGAATTCGTGACATGAAGACGAAGCTAACCATGACCTCGCGCCCTTTTTATATTTGGCCATGTCCTATTCGCTATTTTTGCAGGCTTCACTTAGTGGGGGTTTAAAACCCCCGCTATTTGCTTATGTTACAGGTACAAAAGACGAAGAAGATGCTAGCGTGTCCAGGCATGGTTGGTTAGTTTAAATATTAGCGCGTTTTTTTTGGTTTGTTTCAACATGATTACCTTTTCATATATATTATTTATGTTCTATTATATTAACAAAGAAACGCGTTGGTTCAGTTGGTGGCTGAGGTGTCCTGCAGGTACTGGGACCTGGGTTCGATTCCCAGGTCCCCCCCAAACGTTTAATAATTTTTGTCTTAAGGTGTTCCTACGCAGCGCTTTCTTCAGAGTCCATCATACAACCTCACCTCCAAGCCTGCCACGCGCCCATGAACTTCAATCTGAAGGCCACAAAAGAGGTTTACCATACGCCTCAGTCAATGGATTCACACGCAAGCACATAAAGTCAAAAAAGGGCTTTGATTCAGTGGGCCAAAAATACTCCAATTCACCTCCAAAAAGGGCCAGACACCCTCCATTGTTTGTATTCTTTCTTAATTTCTTTTTCTTTTCTTTTAATTATTTTAATTGTTTTCTTTAATTTCCAATAATTAATTTTCATAATATAAAAAATCAGAAACTAAAATATGTCAATTAATTTAATTATTAAATATTTTTTTTGTAAATAAATGTTAAATAATTAATTTAGTTTAATAAATTAGGTTTTAAAACTTTAATCTTTTTCTTAATAAATTAAAATATGTAGAAATTAGGGTTTTTCACTTCTTTTTTTTTCACTTTTTTTTATTATAAATAATCTTCTTTCATTATTATTATTATTATCATTAAATATCTTTTGTAAATAAATATGTAAAATAATTAATGAGTGCAAATTAGGTTTTAGACTTTAACCTTTTCTTTAATAATTAAAAATATTTAGAATTAGGGTTTCTTTTAATTTTAATTTTAATTTTCTTTATTTTCATTAAACACAAAAAACCATAAAAAACACTTCTTTTCTTTTATCAAATAATTAATTAGCTCTTTAATTTCAATTTAATTTCAAAAAGGGTCCAACGCCCTCGAACGTGCAACTTTAATTCTTTCGCGCATTTATTCTTATTTTTTCTTTGTGAATATTATGTAACTGTTCAGGCCATGTAATAGTAATTAGGAATTTATTTACTTTCCGCATTTTTTATCAAACGGGTCTTTGTAATTTGGCGATGTATAGACCTGCGCCTTGTAATAGCGTAGGATTTTACTTTCTGCATTTAAATTTCTGCACTCTTAAACTGCTAAACTTTGCATGAAAGAATGAATGACTAATTAAAAACAGTGCGTAGCTCACGATACAATGATCAAAGACAAATATTAGCATGAAAATAACACACAAATTCACACACCACTCTTAGGGTACGCCTCACTGTTGCCTTGCCCTCGAAACGTGGTCGTCGAGTATAGGACGTTTTAGTAAGTCCTTATGTCCATGACATGATCCAGTTGCCTCAGAATTAAAAAGGATCAATGGCATAAGGGTAGCTTCTAAGGTGTCCTACTGTTGCTCTGGTGACCACATTGTCCCTACAAACGAATTGACCCAAACACCTCCAACGGTGGTGCTACCTATCTCTCAATGGTGGGATGGCACTACCTTAAGGACATTTACACAGCCTAATTCCTTAGGGTAGGTGGATGACTCATGGATACTTGCTCTATTTCAAAAACGAATCAAAACTCTTTTCACACCGACACTTTCAAAAAGATTTCAAAACAAACACTTCACAACACTCTTGAGGACTGATACAAGAGTCAAATTGAAGTTTTCAATGAAACTTTTTCAAACTCACTCACATTTTGAAAAGCAAACAAACATTTTGAAAACACAAGAGCAAGTATCTAAGAGCCCATGGATAACCATGGATAGAAAGGGTGCTAATACCTTCCCTTTCTATAAATCTACCTCCCGAACCGAGAACTATTCTCATAAGGAATTTTGCTGTGCTTTTGTCCTGTCCATGTTGGAGAAAATAAAAGACGGTGGCGACTCTTGCTTCCGCGACATTTCGTGAACCAGCTTTAAAACAATCAGTTCTATTTCCACCGATCACACCATGGAAGCATGTAAACGCACAACAAAAGTAAACACACATCACACAAAGCTTGGGGAGTATCCACTCACTCAAGTAGCACACACCTAACCGAGGTACTGTGTCACCAAGGTAGGAAAAGAGAGGGACTCCTGACCATAATATCGTATCATCAAGGTAGGACAAGGGAAGTGGGACACCTGACCAAGATATCAAGGAATCAAGGTAGGATGAAAGAAGGCTTAGCCACAATATTGAATCATCGAGGCAAGCAAGAATGGGGAAATAAGGAGTTTCTTAACCGCGGTATCACGTTACTAGGGAAAGAAAGATGAAAGGCGAGTGAATCGTTATAGCCGACTAAACACCTAACCAAGATATCACGAATCGAGGTAGGCGATAGAAGGAAATAGTGAGATCACATTGAAGTGTAAACGTGTACGTCACGTGAGCTAATGATAAATCGCGGGGGATTGGTTGCAGATCCATGTATTCCACTTGACTTGACTCGATAACAGGAGCATCATGATTCGTAGTATCAACACACGTTATGAGCTATGAATGACTTGTGGACTAGAAATTGCGGGGGTTGATTGCGAACCCTCCTCCACTTGCCTTCTCTGAGGACTTATAAAAAAAGAATGGGAATGGGGTGCCTTCATTGAGGTCTTTGGCACAAAACATAAATACACAGAATGGTAAATAAACACAAGTAGGAATTGCCTTAAACAAGGTCTTTAAATAAATCAGATTTTCCTCAACAGGACTCCCAGAACATGCATCTCTAGTCCTACTTCTTATGGCAAGGAAATAGGTAAATCATCATGTGTCTCTATTCCTACTTCTCATGGCATCAGAAAGCGGTAAAGAGTGTAAGAGATAAAGAAAGCCAATGTGAATACTAATCAAACAACAATTCATAGCAAAGCAAGCAAAAGCAGAATAATCGGAAAAACTTCGAGCAAGCTAGCATCAACAACGTAATAGTCAGAAATAATATCCAATGAATATCATGTGAAAAAATAAATCGTGAGCCACGAATGTATTGCATCGCATCAAAGTTCCTGCACACAGTTCACATCCAAACAAAAACGCAATCCAAACAAAAAAATGCAAACAATATATTTCTCATGAAATGAGAAACAAGAATGAATCGCTTCGGAAGAGAATCCTCAAATCAAATTCTTTTCGATCAAATAACCAACACTAAGTTACATAATCGAAAGCTTCTCACAATGTACCTTGCACAAGTCACAAAACATATTAGCAAATAACAAGGAGCATCAAATGTAACTCAATAATCGATTTCACAAGTTAAAGTGACATGTTATCATGCATAGAGTGAAATGAAGCAAGCAATGGAAACATAAGAGCAAAATCCGGGAAGCATGTACGTCATGAAAATGAGTGCGCAAAAAGTCAAAACAGAGTCGCATGAAAATCGCACGGTGGATTCCAAACTTACCAAGGATCTCATAAAAGGTATACCACGAATTAAATTGCACTAGAAGCATGGGTTACCATTACGGGGCAGCAACACATTTATAATATGGACCGCATCGAAAAATACATCAGAATCAAGGGGAATTACTCACAATAGTTCATAAATAACCAATAAAGTATACACATGCATCACATGAAAGTTGAGACCCAAAGTACATGTCACGAAGAACAAAATAGCACAATATTCAAAATTTAGGTGCACAAAACATTGGAACAAAATCGCACGGAAATTACATGGTTGCTTTCAAATGTATCAACAAACTCAAAAAAGTATACTCCCCAAATTAATTCCAATCGCAAGTGCTACTTCCATTACCGGGCAGCCATGTGCATTTATGAAAAATTCAACCGGAATCAAGCTTAAACAACAAAAATAAGTGCACCAAAGTGTTCAAGTATCATCACTTAAGAATAGCACACCAGTTACAAACAAGAGGAACACAATGAATGCCTTAAATCCAAGCACAAAACAAACATTATGTGTTAATGTAATTTCCACCAATTTGAGGTTTTCAAATGTCAAAAGACTTAAATTCATCAACAAATTGGTGTCAAATTATATTAACTCATGAAGTTGCACCAAATTCTCATCAATTCAAGAACCACACTTCAACATCATTTAACAAATCAAGCATTGTAAAGTTCAATCACAAATTAAACTCCTCTTTAACATTATTTCACATTCAAGAAACATATTCAATTCAACATGTTTATACTTAATTCTACACTTCAAAGTTCAACTCATGAACAAACTCTAATGGTTAACCAACCACTTACAAGTCTCTTTAACATCACAAATGCAACTCTTATTTAATTTAAGAAACAACAACCTCCATCAATTCCACAAAGTTCTGACTTATCCCACACTTTAACTTCATCACAAAACTCAAATGCTAACTTTAAAATTTAATTCTAGTTAAATTTCACCTCTTCGGAATTTTATCAAACACCTAAACTACAACACTATGTCTCAACCATCAAAGTATCAACTATATTAATGTCCAATTCAAGAATTCACAATTAATATTCAATGCAATTCCTAATTCTATTCCTCAATCAAAGTTCAATTCAAGAAACACAACATGCTTATTCACAAAATTGATTATGTAAAAAAGCACTTAAGTCAAGAATTAAGATGAAGATTACTTACCGAAATCGAAGCTCGAAACGGAGGATGATATTGACGCCGGAACAATCGTAAAGAGGAGAGGAAAACATCGTAAAAATGCGGCGGAGACGAAGGAGGTACCACGTTCGTGTAGTTTCCAGAGGGAGGACTTGCGACGAAGGATCAGAGCAGTAGGCGGAGGGATTGTCTTGCTTGTGGAATTCCTGTTGGAGAGGAAGAAGAATGATAAATTTTGAATCTTTTGTTCTTGATGAATTGTTGAAGAATGATGAATATTATTGATGTTCCTGAGAAAAAATGAGAGAAGAATGTGTTTGAACTTTGAGAGAAAAGAGAGAGATTTGTGAGTTGTTTTTGGAAGTAAGTGAATTATGAGAGAAAAATCTGATTTTTGGAATATATAGTGGGAAAAAATTGGGCCTTGGATGTCAAATTGGATTGGACCTCATTTTGACAGTGTTAGCAAATTTAACGCACAATGTGAGTACAAAATGCCACGTCATTATCAGTGCGAAATCTCGACTCGAGCTCACCATAAAAAATGAAGATTGCAAAATTTATGACACGATGCCGAAAGAAAGGACTCAATCGGATAAACAATGAAAAAGTTATGAATTTTCGAAGTTGCTCAGACGCTGTCTTTTCCAATTCTGCAACGAATTTCATTGTTCAGTTAATGAAACGAACCATAAAAGGAAGCCTTCAGAGTAGAGTTTGAACTCGAAGTTTGAAGAAAAGTTGTATCTGACATCATTTGTGAAATTATGCCGAAATAATCGTCTCGATATGGTAAAAATTGAAGAAGTTACGATTTTTACAATATCGGAAGACAGTGAACTAAAATACTAGTTCAACACAACAAAATCTCTTGTAATTCACATTTCAGGGATCTTCTGCAAATAATCAGTTCTCGGCGTGAACATTCAAAATGAAGATGGAATCGAGACGGATTTTTCGCCTAAAGAACCGCTCTAAAAGAATGCACCGGGCAAAAGTTATGAATTTTCGAGCATCCGAAAAATAACGGTTCAGCACAGGTTTTCACTGTATTTTCACCGTATAGCTTCAGAGTCTTCGCAAAATTTGGAGACCTTCCTCTATGAATTAGCTCCTGGTCCAAACACGTGAATTGGAGAAGACATCAAGGAGGACTTTATGGTCTAAGAACCGCTTCAAAACAGTATTCCAAACAGAAGTTATGAATTTTTGAATGCCCATGAAACGGAGGACCAGAAATTAAATTCAGTATACTGTCTTCAAAGAATTAAAATTCCCAGAGGTCTTCTTCACAAAATTAGCCTTCGATCCAAACACGAGAAGTGATAAAATAATCAAGACAGTCTCAATGCTTGAAGAATCAAATGATAATACTGAATCAGATGAAAGTTACATAATCCCAAACACCCGGTGAACAAATAACAAATCATTTAATTCAAATACTGTTTCAGGGAAATAAAAATTTTCGAGGACTTTCTACACATAATTGGCTTCCGGCTTGAACATATGAAATGAAGAAAATACTGAGACTGTTCCAACACCTGAAGAACCATTTCAAAATAATATGCCGATTGCAAATTGGGAATTTTTAAGTTCAAACCAGCGAAAACACTATTTTTGATTCACACTATCTCAAATTCACTGAAACGCCCGATTCATTCGCAATTTAGAGCATGCTGAAATACCTGAGAGCTTGACATGATGATGGCTTGATTGATTATTAGTTTGATTGCTTAAAAAACGTGTAGAACACATTTAAGCCTTAAAAAACTAGGGTTTTGCCTTGTAACACTGTCCGACAGAACAATTTATTTTTTGTGGCTTTCAAAAAGAAATACCTTGATCCCATGACCACTAATTATGCATGCAATGCTAGATGACCTACTGAGGAGTATGCATAATCCAAATGAGCCTCCAAAACGGGTAGGACGAATTTGGGGTATGACAGGAGAGAACTCGTCAAGATTGAATTTCATTTACCCGTCAAAGACTTAAACCTACTGATCAATTGTATGTAACCTAAACCACTCACCAATATCATCTCGTACCCCCCCCCCCCCCACAACCTAGGTTATGTATAAGGCAGAGTTGAGACAATCATATTGTCTCATTAGGGATGTCTCGTGCAACTCAACAACACAGAAGCATTAAGAATAGATACCCACTGTGAATATTACACCTAAATCTATCTCTATAGTTTATAACCTAACAAATGCTCATCCAAGAAGAAGATTCCAACCGTATTTGTATATAGAAGCTTAAATCCCAACACCAAGCAAAAACAAGGATAAAAATTGGTATTGATTTAAGAAATAGATATAATATAATGCCATAATCAGTACATATACAAAAAATAGAGTAAACTTACATACAAACCCCACAAATGGAAACTACAAAGGGAAGAAAGGAGAAGAATCAAAATCTCTCAGTGTCAATCACGATCAAAGAATCTTCAACCCCAGATCATTAAATTTCAACCTCCGTTGGTGTTGTCAAAGCTCTCAAAACTTAAAGAATGTTGGTGATGGAGTTGAGAGCAAAAAATACCCAAAACCATAACCTAAAAAATGAATGAATTCTATTTATATAAAAGGAAATCTGCAGACCGCGCTAAGCCCACAAACCCACGCTAAGTGAGCTCTCACTTATTACACTTAAAATGCCTTAATGTGCGCTAAGCGCCCTCAGAGCGCGATCACCTATGCCTGAACTTCTCCAAGCATGCTATGGCTCGCTTAGCCCGACTTGGGACACTTATTTCCATCCAAAATTGCATCTTGAAGAATTGCTTTTGGCTCTTATTACTCTATGCTCCAACTGTTGTACCCCAAAATTTGCCCTCCCATTTCCTCAACATTTTCTCATCACAAGACCTTTGAAAATCAAGATCCAGTTAGGGTTACCTCTGCTCAAGACTTCTCCTTGCACTGTTGACCCAAATTAGGGTTTGTGTTTGCACAAAGATATTTTGACCTAAAATGCCTAAGATGACTTTCATGCTTCATGTTGGACTCCCAAGTTTATCCATACCAAGTTTCAAGTCTTGATTCCAAGTTTTGCCCAGTCAATTGGACAGTTGACCTAGAAATCAACTGTATTGGGGAAAAAGTCAACTGTGGCCAATTGACAGTCAGATCTCATGAAAATTGACCCACATCAACATTATGAACTCACACGGACCATTTGATCAAGTTTGGATCACAATTCCACAAGAAATTTGATCAGATCATCAAAAGGGCAAAATGGTCATTTTTAGGGTTTTGACTGCACAAAGGCAACTTTTGACTGTTTGACCTAGCCAATGGCAAACCAAGCTCACATATGGACTCAAGGACCCCATGGAATTATCTTGACATGCTCAACAAGTTCAAAGGATCCCAAATACACAAGATTGATAGTTGAATTTCCCAGTCAATTGATCAATTTTGACTGTATACTGAAAAGTCAAACTTTGACTTTTTGGTCAAAATCAAAAGTCAAGATTCATTTTTCATCAAAACATGCCAAATCATGAAACTTGTCCATCAAGAAATCAAGAAATGCAAATTAGGGTTTGAAATGAGAATTTTTCATAACTTAGAATTTTTCTAAGTTATGAAAAACCCTAATTTTTTTCCAACTTTGCCCCACTTTCTAACCAAGATTCATTTGGATTCAAACAAAAGTCCAAACATGAAAGTTGTAGCTTGTTGCATAATCTACAACTTTGATTCACAAAGTTTTCCCAAATCAGGCTTGTATCTCAAGTTACAATTTTTGGAACAAGGGTACCAAACCATTCTTAACTTAGTGAAAATTTGACCTATTTTGGCAAGGTTTTCTACCTAACTTCAAGGCCATTTTTCATACACTTCCACTTGGAATTTCAATTTGCATTTCAAATATGGATTGTAGTACACATTCCAAGCTTTCCAAAATGTCCAAGAACTTCTCAAACAACCTCATGGTTAGGGAGAATCGAATTTTTCAAAATGGGAAAAAGTCACTTTTGTTCTTGGCCAAGACATGTTCATACATTGGTGCCATTTTGAATTCAGCATGCTTAAGCTACATTGCAGGCCTCTAATCCCATTCTCACTCAATAATTCAATGCAAAACCATTGTGCCAAGATGTTGTTCTATGCATTTTGACATTACATGGAGATTTAACCCTTAATTAGAAAAAGCATTATTTCCATTTTGAAAAAGTAGAACTTTATGTCCATTTTGCAAATCCAAGTGGTACAGTCCAAATCTTCTTGGCACAATTATGAGAAATATTGCACTGATCAAGGCCAATGTATGCAGCATAGTGTGAGGGCCTGTACAGGCTAGAGACATCAAGTGGCCATTGCTTGCTTAAAATTCAAGTAACATTGCATATGATATACCAACTTCCATATCAGTCAACCAAGCCTGAGAGAAAGATATCAAACACATTCCAAATATTGATCCTAAGCTAAAGCACGATCCTTTCCCCTCCAATACCTTCACAAACTCAGAACCACCATCAAACTGCCAAAACAGAGTGACCTCTGCAGATTGAGTTCCAACTCTCATCCCTGTCATGCTTTCTTGCTAAAAGCTCTTCACACACCTTGCCTACCATCAATGCAAGCTAACCAAAACCTAAAACACGACCTGTAATTCCTCTAACCAGTTCCACCATTTTCATTTTCTTGTTTTGCAGTTGAAGTTTTCTAGCACGATTCAAGAAGTTTCAGGACAAAGTAGGACTTGGAATAGCATCCTCACACTTCAAGGAAGCTGTACAAGTCATCATCTTGCTCTGAAAACTCCCCCATTGCAAGGCACGATTCCAACTGAACAGGTATGTTCATGAAGTTCTATCTCTCAGTATAGGCATTGTTAGCTTTAGGTTTGTGAAGGAAACATGTCACAATCATAGCCCTGAACATGCCCATATGATTAGATTTCATTTATATTACGTGTGCTGCAAGAATTTTGAGTCTGAACATTGATGAAAAGCTAGGTCAGGAATTGGGGGAGAAGAAATTCTCCCTCATCTTAGAGAGTTAAGTCAAGTTTCTTATATCCCTGGATTCGTCTTCTCATGCTCCACACTTTTCATGTTGAAAGTTTTGCTTAAAAGTCCAGGAATTGGGAGATAGGAAACGCGTGCTTGCTTGAACAATTTTGTTCTGAGGTTGAAGATGACTGGTTCTGGGCTGGGCCTGGAATATTTTTCTTATTTGCACCATACAATTGCTTCTGAACCCCCGGAGCCCATTTGGTTTATTTTTAATGTTTTTTGACTTTTCTTTTTTTGGTTTGACTCATTTATTTTTCCTCACAATATAAAAAATATAAAAATAATTTTTTACACCACTTTTGAATTTATTAGGTATTTATTGGTTAGTTTAGTTTTATTCACAAATAAATAAATAAGCCTCTTTTATTTAAAAATACTAAAAATAA